GAAACTGTATTTTGCGATACTATATTTTGTGATGATTCTGCTAGTAGAGTTGGCAAACATTTGTTTTAATAAAGACTGAAAAAAAAATAAAAGACAAAGTGCAGTACGTTGCTTTGAATGCTTTCACATGGAACTTTATACATGTACATATAAAATGGTGTGGATTGATTTTGAAAGAAAATATGGCGACACCACCATAGAGATTATAAATAACACTAGAGGGGGGCCAGGGGCATCGTAATCTTAATTCAGTCAAAGGAAGGGAACGCGTCTATTGGGGGGCAAAAAATGAAAATGCTAAAATAAGAGAGAGTTTGAGCCAATATATCTAAACTCTTGTTTATGGCAGTTAACTGAGTTCTGTTTTAATTTTTACCAAGCTTTTTACCACAATTTTGTTTATAACACATTTCAAACAGTGTTCCAAAATAATGCTGATATCAGTAATGTTGATATTTTCAAGAGATATTAATTGTTTGAATTCAAAATTTTGGGGAAATGTTTGTAATAATGACATGCAAAGCATATAAAACACCCAGTTTTGTGACTCTTGTTTTAAATTTTTCTGGTTTCAAGTGCAACCCAAAACTTGTGTGGTGTTTACTATTCGTGATTTCAATCCCCCCCCCCGCGCTCCCAAATTTCACCCTCGATTCCCCCTCTATCATTATTTATCTATCCCGGCCAACTCTACTAGCAGAATCATGACCAAATACAGTTTCGCAAAATACAGTTTCGCAAAATACAATTTCGCAAAATGCAGTTTCGCAAAATACAGTTTCGCAAAATACAGTTTCGCAAAATACAGTTTCGCAAAATACAGTTTCGCAAAATACAGTAAGCCCTATAAAATATATATAATAACCTGCCTTACACTGCCATATAGTCTTTTAGTTAATTTGTTAAATTATTACTTTGTAATAACTATTAAGACTATCTGGTGAAGTAATTAAATTAAATTAGCTCAGGTAACCGGGCTGGCTTGGCGGCTCGCCTCCATATAAACACCGACTAAGACATTTAGTTTATAAAACATTTTGATCACAGAAACTTATATGATGTAAACAAACTCAACTAATAATTACTAGTATATTTTTTCACCCTAATAGGCAATTAATTCCAGCTTTTAGTTTATGCATGCAGGGGGTGATAGGAAGTAAGGTATCATGTTGCTGACTATACTGAAAAAATAAAACTAGTGCCCGTGTAAACACGAAGTGATAACTTATACTTTTAAATATTGAAATATTTCAGTTGTTTCGGCAGTTTTAATTGAAATTTTTCAGCATGATCAGCAACATGATACCTTACTTCTCATCACCCCCTGCGCGCATAAGTTAAAAGCTGGAATATTGCCTATTGCGACTAAAAGCTTGCATATAAGAACCTACAATTTAAGAACCTGTCAGGCTAAATTTTTTTATATACTAGACACTCTATTTCAATTTGTATACTTATATTTTTTATATACTAGACACTACATTTGTTTAGGCTAGCATTTCAGGTTCTTATCACATGAAGACAAATCAAATCCTAAAATGTATATAAATCAAAGAAAATAAACTCTTCACAAAGTAAAGAAAATGATCCAGAACACTGAAAATGTCATTGAGATAAATAAAGTGTTAGCACCTTTACAGTATAGCTTTACACACAGCTATTAGTTAGATAATTTGTGCACAATTTACATACATGTAACTATATACAGGTAAATTATACCTCACATATATACCAAAAATGAGTCGCTTTTCTTTAAGAATTTAACCTAATTTCCAGGCTCTAATGATCATGTAGTCACTACATGTATTGTACAAAGATGGGGTCTGGAGGTTTGAAATCCGAGCTTTCTTTCTCCTAGATCGATTGCCTGCTACACAAAGCAATCTGGAACACAAGCCAGTTCATATTGTACTATGATTGCCTGATTTTGTGTCACAAAGAGTGGCACCATCCCATATATGTTGTCAAAACAAGCTGCCATATATAGCCTGTTTTGTGACATGAAATCAGACAACACAGTAAAGCCCTGCATATAATAAGAACCTAGATTTTTCCAAGTTAGCCTAAACAGGTTCTTATGTGAATGGTGCTTACCTGACTGTTCATGCCACAAAATGTAATAATTATATATTTTATTTACTATATTCAGTATTTTCAGGGGGCATATAAGCCTTTGAGACATATTCATGCCTATCCCCTTGGAGTTCTCTTTTAATGTATGATATGTGTTAATATATAATAATTGTTTATAAATTATTTGTATTATCATATGACCCAATAAATCTGTTAATTAAAAAAAGAAAGATTCGTTGATGTAAATAAAAATTACATCAGTGTTTCCTGAGCATTCTGATGAGCTGTGATATAGAGCGAAACAAACATATATTTAGCAATTGTCCTCTGTCTTGAAGAGACATGATGTGATCACTAGATTGACCAGATCATACAGTGTCACAGACTAGACTAACGTAATCACTAGATTGACCAGATCATACAGTGTCACAAGAATATCATCATTTAGTGTCATATCAGAGTATTAAATATCAATGAATTCATACATCCAGTTTATAATTTCAAAACATACATTTTTATAAGTAAACACAAAAAAGTTGAATATAATCTTAGCGTCTCGTACTCTTGTCACTGTCAATTATCTATTGAACTAACAATAACACAATAACACTTTATTTAACGAGGATTTACAGATAAAGCTACAGTACAGCTTGTTTCCAATCTGGTCCTCTTAAGTTCTGGAAATATATTACATCACGTGGTTACAATACTCGATCATGCAGTTAACATTCTTTAGAAACGTAGGATATACAGTCACGGATGCGCCACAAACACACAACATACACAGATACATCACAATCGCACTACATTAACAATCTATAACTATTGAACAAAAGCTGTTTAACGGTCAAAAATTTCGCCTTTGGCTTAATTTGCCACGAAGACAGGAACTGCAGCCACATTCTCAATCACACTTGTTTCGAAATTTGTCAAGCGAAAAGCTTTCCCCAAGCGCTTCATAATGACAACAACAACTCTGGCAACATGTTTGGAGGGATTGATACTGCATCAACTATTTTCATGTCAATTCATGATTAGACACAAACTCCAAAGGTATAAACACACATTATTCAAAATCACACCTTCGGGATTTCGGTTTGCCACCCCAGCTGTTGATATATATAGCAAGTCACACAAGATTCAAAGCGGCCTCTTTATTCATGATGTTTACAGTTAAACAGTTATAGTATAAGATTGTGTTATTGTGTATAAAAATTTCCAGTGTAGAAATGTACAAGAAATGAAGCGAAGTATTGTCAAACATTGCACTCCTCGGTCACAAATTATGTGGAATGTTACTTTGAACTCGTCATATACTTCATCTTATATAATTAATGTGGATCAAAACAAAAAAAACGTAAACAAAGCCCGCGCATGCGCAGAAGGGACTGTAACCATAGATATAGGAGATCTAGATTGCTAACGCATACCTAGCGCAGGCGGGGCCTACATGATAAATCCAAGATGGCGGTACAAGAGGGCAAAAAGACTATAGATTCTATTACGAAAATCAAGATTTTTGCATTTTTTGCCGTCGCATTGTTTTGAAACTTATTCGGTCAAATTTTATGGTAAAGAGAAACTTACCGCGAAGATTTTGAGCATATATATGATTGAATTGGATGAAAACTCGCAAAATTATCCAGCGATAAAAGTTTGTGTGAAATGGTCAGTTGGTCAGTTGGAGCGTTTTATTGCCAGAAATACTGTGCTATGTTAACATATTTAGTCTTGTGAATGGTGTTTTATACTTGCATCTTTCATCATCATCTGCTCTGTCCTCATAATTATGAAAAATGAACTGTTATGTAAACACCCCCCCATCCCCCCTCCCCTCCTTGCTTGTTAGAGAAGTAAACTGATGAGAGCACTGGATAAGGGTCTATCATCTATGGTCTGTTATAATTTGCTTTCTATGCAAATAGTGAGCAAAAATTAAAGCAAAACTGTACAAGTTACATATATAGTACTATATCAGTACTATACACAAACTTTTATCGCTGGATAATTTTGCGAGTTTTCATCCAATTCAATCATAAATATGCTCAAAATCTTCGCGGTAAGTTTCTCTTTACCATAAAATTTGACCGAATAAGTTTCAAAACAATGCGACGGCAAAAAATGCAAAAATCTTGATTTTCGTAATAGAATCTATAGTCTTTTTGCCCTCTTGTACCGCCATCTTGGATTTATCATGTAGGCCCCGCCTGCGCTAGGTATGCGTTAGCAATCTAGATCTCCTATATCTATGACTGTAACCTACCTTTAAACCTAAACTATTTTGAAACATTCAAATGAAACGTTCAGTTACTGAAATATCAACAATGTAACTTTATGATCATAAATAGATTCTAATTTATTATATTGGTGCAAAATGTCACCTGGCGCCACACATGTGTTACCCGTCACCGAGGGAAAATACCTGCCGAATGAATCTGATTATGTGTGGATGCACTTTAACTAGAATGTTTAGAGAACAATGACAGAAATCAATGAAATTTTAGATTCACCTAGCTCATACCCTAAAACACAATGTGTAGATCAATATGGGATCAATTTCGCTATAAAGAGCTACTGTCCACTCATTTACAATACTTAGCCCAGGCACAAAGTAGATACATACAGAGCTGGAACTGGCTGTTGTAAACACTGCAGAAACTTACTTTTTCATGTACCCACTTTTTTCAGGCAACCAGGCAAAAAAGATCAACTGCACATGCTCAGCAAGTCCGTGAGCAGTTAAAGTGAGCCGCCATCCAATGGGGATGCATGCATCTAGTAACTTGCCAAGAATGCAAACAAAAAGTGGGTCCCAGGTACACTAGTTATAACTCTGTATATGTATCTACTCTGTGGCCCAGGGTCTTCTCTCTGGTGATGGTCAATGACATATGCATAATTACATATGGTATGTACAGTAACAATGCTTAATGAGAGCTCACCTCAGAACTATCCATGACTGCCACAGGTGTCATATCCAAATCACTTTGTATCGGTCGAATGAAGGCCATTGCTTGCTTCAATATAGATTTATCCCGTAGAAATGGTACGCTGTAACCACTTCGTGGTGGCCGGATAAACACCAAATCTTTGGTTTGTGCTACACGCCTCAGGATGTCAAAGCCTCCCCCAAATTGTAATTTTGGGTAAACTTCCTCCAATTTTGCCTTCACGTCGATTGCACTGGCTTGCCTGTCAAAGCATATTCTTTTTTCGCCTAAACCAGCTTGTTCCAGCTTTGCCTTAAGATCTGAAGTGGGGGAAACACACTGTTCGTGATTTGCTAAGCAATAGAAGTTGTGTGTCCATGTTTTACCGCTGATTGCGCTTAAAACATAAGCCCTTGCTGACTGGGTAGGATACGGTGTAAAACGACGTGCGAAATTCCCTAACGCTCTTTCTCTGTTGATAGCCGTTATACTTGGTATATTCTGATTATATAAAAATATAGTATTCGATAATTGACCCTGTGGTTCGTCGCTCTGAGAAGTTATTGCATTTTGACTCGGTTCATTGTTTACACCTTGTGCTGAAGGAACATTCAATAAACCAGAATCTTCTGCCGTCAATCTTGTTGCCTCTTGCAAAAAAGTAACAAAATACTGTTGTAAAAAATTGCCTTCTTCATGTTCAGCCATTTTGTGCCTAATTTTCTTAAACTTTTACCAAAATGTTATTTGTATGCGAAACACCGGAAGTCAAATTTGGTTTCTGAGAGTCATTCATTGATATGTACTTCAATATCAAATAATATCATGGTTCGAGTGCCTTATTTCACGCTTGGCTTCATTGACTATTGGCGGTCGTGGAGCGAACATCTCTGTGTTTCCCGGGCATTCTTTTGTGACAGCCGGACATTCCGTGAACAGTACTTTGCAATGCCATATATTACAAGAATTATTTAATCTTTCATAAAATAAGTGATTTTATGGTATTAACCAGTGAACTGTAAATATAAACCTGGGGCCGGTTGTATCAAAGGCGTTTAACTCGCTAACCACCGTTTAACTCGCTATCCGCCGGATAAAATTTAAACGCTCGAGAAATCGCGTTGTATCAAGCCCGTTTAGCGCTATCCACCGGTTAAATTTTGCCTATCCACCGTGTAAACTTATACGGTCTATTGAGACCGTTTAAATCGCTATACGGCGGATAAACTCGGAGTTTGAAGATAAAACAATGATTATTTCGGATGAAAAAGCATGGGATAGTTATAAAAATGCACAATCATGTGGAGGAGTTATCTTTTTAAATCCAATAAACATGAAAAACTCACTTTTAACTGGCTTGGTCTTGAGGTACACTGAGGTCACTTGCTCACTTGTAATTCCGTGGCTTTGCTATATTTACGCACACCAGTGTCATGTTTAGATGTTAAGTATATATACTCTGGCTTTTTCTCCTTCTTTTCTTCTATTATATAGTTTGAAAACAAGCAGTAAGACTCGCAATTTTAGCTATTGTAAAACAAACAATGACTTTGGAAAGCCAACAAGTATACAAAATAGACAACAAGACGCCGAAAGTCGAAAAAAAATTGTTCGCTCGCGTTAATCGCTTTGATCAGCCAATCAAAACGTGGTTCAAAATGTTCTTAAAATTGTTTTGTACAAAAGTGCAAGGTCGAGGAACAAATTTCAAACAGTATAAAACTGAATCAACTGACAAAAGCCAAATACAACTCACAGTTTTTGCTATTGCCTTCGACTCTTCGCTTAAAGAAGCCAAAAATCTTTAAAGAAATATCCGTAAGTGAATTTAAGTGATGAGAAACTCAGCACAATGTGAAAATGAAAAGTTTGATATAGATTTGCAGCAACGAATGGACGAGCAAACTCCAAATAAAAACAACAATAAACTTTATTGCAAAAGCTTAGTGGAATTCAATGGCCTAGCAACAGCTGACGTAGAGGTAAGAAATTTCAAGAAAATCCGGTTTTCTCCGGTTAAATTAAAGGTTATCCTACGGATAGTTAAACGCGGTACTAAACGGGCTTCATACAACGCAATTTTATCGGCCGTTTAACTATCCGCTGGATAAGAAATTTATACGCTGGATAGCGGCTAAACACCGTTTAAGTTAAACGCCTTTGATACAACCGGCCCCTGGAACGATAACTCAAGTAAACATGCCCATACCACAGAATAGGAAGTTATACCAGAAGCGTAACTCTAGTCGTTTCCCTTATTGTTTGACGTCCACGAAAATTTATAGTAGAGCTCAGTGTTTTTAACTCGCTCACGTCAGGCCACGCCATCCTGGCTAGTACAGCCGGAAGTTTTTATCAGGTTTTGGTGGGTACAAAGTGCCGGTTGTACCACAGGGGGCAGAAAAGTACGATTGTGTTTAATTTTATAAATACCTTGTCATCAACCAATATCCCATATTTATATTACAACAATCCGCAGACATAGTCATAAAAGGATCAAAATTAGCTGATTTTTATTTTTTTGATAATATCATGCCTTCTACTTCATGTAATTCAAACATATTGCATTGCAACGACAATTTCCGAACATCTTACGAAAGGATGCCGAGGGTGTAACCCGTACATAAATAAGAAAGGGATGAAACGCCGAAAATCTTTCGTTCAATGTGCACCGCAACAACTGGTGACGGAAGTAAATTCGACATTGTAACCGGAAGTAGAACGGAAGTTGAAGGAAAATTGACCTATCATCTTCCATGACCTTTTAATCGAATTAACGGTTAATAAT